TGCCTGACCTTCACCCTGCATGGATGAGGAACTTTTCTCCAGAGTGGGGACAGGGCAGAAAGGGTTTGCATATTTTTAACACTCAATTGTACAAAATGGATAGTTGGTAATTCTGATGGCCATCCCCATCTTAGAGTAATAATAGCTAAGGTTCATTTATCGAGCATTTATGGTGAGCCAAATTCTGTACTTTCATGAATTGAACACTTGTAAGTATCACTTAATCCTTCAAATGTAGATTCTATTCCAAAAACCTATGGTTGTCAAATCCATTCCAACTCATGGCGACCCTACAGGGCAGAGGAGAACTGCCCCACATGGTTTCCTAGGCTGTAATCTTTATGGGAGCAGATCGACAGGTTTTTTTCTCCCACAGGGCGGCTGGCAGGTTCAAGCTGCTGACCTTTTGGTTGGCATCCGAGTGCTTAACCATTGCGCCACCACAGATGGAGAAACTGAGGTACAGAGAGGACAAGTAACTTGGGCAGAGCCATTCAGCTAGTAAGTGGGGGAGTGGTTGCAAGCCAGGCTGCCTGCTCCGGAGGCTGGTTCTAACCGGTACGTGGTACTGCCGCCTCTCTTTTAGGCAGTCTGTTTGTCACCCTGCCTCCTCACTGGGCTCGTCCACAGATACGTTCTAACGCAAGGCCTGCACCAGGCCGCCCCTGCTGGGTGTCTCCAGACAGTTCATCACTAGTGAAATGCTTGTTTTCTGTATCCTCGCCAAAGGGTCATTGAACTTTTCAGTGTTTGCCCATCTGGTCATGAAAAATTGGGGGACCCACAGCCTGGGTGCCAGGCAAGAAGCTGCGCCTTGTTTTGAATGAAGGTTTATAGGACCTGGATCTGGAGGGCAGCTCTCTTACGCCACGAAAATGACCACTCTAGAGGAGTCAGAACTTCCATCTAATAAACAGGACGATTAAGCTAGAACTGTGGTCTTTTTTTTGCTCATATACCTCCTAAAAGACTTTTTGAAATTTTCCTCAAAGTTTAAGTAAACAGTCTTACGTTTTTTATTCATAAGTTTGAATAGTTGCAAAGGATGTCATTTGCATATAGTGTTTGTGCTTTAAATTTATTTTTGTCCAAACTTTGGGACTTCAGATGTAACAAATTAATACCTACATATACCTAATTGTCAAAGCCAGTCCTCAGTCAAATGAGACCTAATTTCTGTTAGAAAAAATCTGACTTCATGTTTCAGTTTAAACGAGTAATCTAGTATACATCCTGGAGAAAAACATATTGCTTCTGGAGAGAAACATCTTATTTCTGGGGTCTGATTCCCCTTGAATAAATAAACAAATAAGGAGAGCGGCAGACAAGCCAACCAGTGATAGCACGGTGGTGGGCAGATAGAGGTAAGGCAGGGGGTCTTCCTCTGAGTTTGTCCCTGGGTAAAAAACCACCTTCTCCTTCCTCAGTGTTTCTTACGGAATTCTCTTTATAATATTTTCCCATGTTAACTCCTTGCTTGTCACCTTGGAGGTTTTCACAGCTGAAGTAAATGCCCCACACTGATTCAGCCTAGTTGAGACTGTTCCTTTTTTCTCCTAAAAATGAAAGGAAGGCAGTTGAGGAAGGGGAGGCAGGACAAGAGAACTGGAAGACCCAGCAGTGGCCACAGGCAGAGCCACTTTAAGAAAGAGCAGTTACAGAACTTGAGGATCTGAAGATTAGGTTCCTCTTGTTTCTAAAATGGCTTTGTGCTCATCCAGGAGTACGTGAACTCCAGTTGGAACGCTTGTAAACTAGAAGTTCTCCACGGGCCTCTTCTAGGACTAAAATTCTGGGACCATTGTGACTTTCACACAATTCTTACAGAACACATCCAACATGACTCTTGTGTCCTCCGAGAACAATATCTATATGCAGGAGCTGCACAGTTGACTGGAAAAAAGTATGCTGGCAACCTTATCTTTCCCAGCAGTGTTATTAGCCCACAGTGGTGATCCTGGGCTTCCTGGTGATGGTCTCACAGCTTCTGATGGGGCTTTTCTGGGCCCCAGGCCCTCTCGACTTGGTCTCCAAGCTTCGCTTCTACTTACAGTCCACAGGGGTGGGAGCCATGAATACATACAAATGGCCTAAATGAATATACAGGTAAACTGAGAGAAACCATCGCGTGCTTGCAAATGAGAATTAACTTAGATTTCACTGAACAAAGTTTAAAAATTTTGTCATTTTTCTAACAGGAATTGAACACTGTACAAATATTATCTGCACCTTTTGAATTTTCTGGTGTCTACTTGCTGTGGTTTTCGTGGGTCTGTGTAGCCACAGATTTGATTACTCTGTGGTTGACTGTAATTGAATACATTTATAAGAGTCCAACCAGTTAGTCATTAGACAGAACCAAAAAAAAAATGAACAGTAAATTGTATGATCCAGTTAGTTCAACTGAAATTAAGAATCAAAACTGGACAGACTGTGAGCCATTTGAACTAATTGCTTAGCCACTGGGAAAACCAAAAGAGGGAGAAGCACATTATGCTTGTTTTAGTTCCGTGAGGTCATTTAGACATAATTTTAGCAAAGTAATCCTGTTAAAACATTCTGTAGGATGTCCACTTTGAGTAGGAAGGGGGATTGGTTTAGATACTGACTGGAATAACAAGCTGAGAGATGGGGCAGCAAGGTGGAACAGGGTTGAAGCCCAGGCGGAGGGGGTGGCATGTTGGAAGCCTCCGGAAGCTATGGGTGGAGCCTCCTTCCCCTCTCGCATCATAGTGCTTGCTGCCCTGTTTCTCTCTCTTTGCTCGTTGGTTTTTTCTCCTTTTTCTGCTTCTCACTTTTTTGTATGTTCCTTTCATCCTTTACTTTTCTACCTCCTCTGCGGCCTGTGCTTTGGGGACCCTCTTGAAAAATCAAACCAACATTCGCTTGGAGAGAAAAGTAATCAACCTGTTGGACGTGTGGAGTGTTGGGTTTTTAAAGAGAAAAGAAAACTGGTAGTCAGAAACCAGGTCCCACAAAGATGGTGTGTTAACAGAGAAGGACGATGGGGGTGAAATTGTATGGGCTGAGTCTTCATCTGCCTGGCATAGTGCCTGGTACTGAGCAGATGCCTGGCATATGATACCAAATAAATAAGTAGAGCAGCAGCCAAGCCAACCAGAGTTAGCAATGCAGGATAGATTCAGGGTAATATAAATATTTTATTTTCCATTATAATAATGTAATTTATTACAGAGAACTGAACTCTACTTTTTAGCAAGATGGTTTATTTTTTACATCTTTTCCTACACATAATTTTTGACCATTGAAAATATTTTTAGAATTGTGTTCAAACTCTGTGGATAATATTATATGCTGATTTTTTTCATTCAGCCTTATATTAAGAGCTTCCATGTTATCACTTCTAAAAATCAGTACTCATTCTAATGATTGTGTAATATTCCATTGAATAAATAATGCATCATATTTTCTTAGCTGTTCTTGCATTATTACTTGGTTGAATAGCTTCCAGTTTTTCACCATGACCTAAATAATGCTCCAGTGAGCACCACTGTGCATGACATTTTGAGTATTTAAATACCCATAAGGTTATTTCTTTATGTTAGATTCTCCAAACTGTACTAATTCTGCCAAAGGATATACCCGTTTTGAAGACAGATTGCTTTCCAAAGATTTACCGATTTTTAGCTCCCCACTGTATTTGGGCTGGATTCATTGTGTGCAAGAAGGTCTTTGTGCACATATACCGTGGTGATCCTTGAGCACCACATACCCAGTACAATGTCCCTAACCAGTTCAGGGGAAAACATTGCCCTGCCCAGTGTCTGAGTAGGTTGAGAGGCAAAGATGTCTGAATCTTGTTATTTTTAACTAACCTTTAATGTCCGTCCGTCCCCCATGCAGAGGCTTCAAATGATTGGTTTTCCAGGAGTGACTTGGATGGTGATAGCTAAATAGAAACTGCTAAGGGACATGTATTTTGAAGAACAGAAAAAAAAAAAAAAAAAAAAACCTCCAGAATTATACAAATCTTGAAACTCATGACTGGAAATGATAAAAGCTCATTGAAACTTCCCATTGCCGTTGAGTCAATTCCAACTCATAGTGACCCTGTAGGACAGAGTAGAACTGCCTCATAGGGTTTCCAAGGAGTGGCTGGTGGATTGAAACTGCCAACCATTTGGCTAGCAACCGAGCTCTTAACCACTGCAGATGTTACTTACATCCCGTTGCCGTAGAGTCGATTCTGACTCATAGTGACCTTATAGGACAGGGTAGAACTGCCCTCACAGGGTTTCCAAGACTGTAATCTTTATGGAAGCAGACTGCCACATCTTTCTCCCGTGGAGTGGCTGGTGAGTTCAAACAGCTGACCTTTTTGTTAGCAGGCAAATGCTTACCACTGTGCCACCAGGGCTCCTTCATTGAAACTTAGTGGCTATAGTTTTGGTTCAGGGGAAGTATTAGATGAAAACTTGAACACATGAACCACTAAAAAGCAGGCCGGTCCAGAAGGCCCTGGAGAAGTTTCTCATTGATCACAGAGCACACATGGGATTATGTTTAATGAATCAAATTGATTCTGAAATACCTAAAGCTGCATTCAGAAGAAAAAGATGATTCTTTAACCAGGTCTGTTTACAGACCTTCCATGGAATTAACGCTAATTGTAGCACCAGGAGAGGCAAGAAAAATCTTCATGATTCAAATGAAAATAATTTGGATTCTTAATTCAAGTTAGCAAATAATTTCAACACACATTTAAAAATACAGGAAGTATGAGATTTTGTTTAAACCCTTTGTCATAAATCCTCATGTCTAATAGTTTTAGACTTTGGGAAGTTTCTCTAATAAAAAAATTATCAAAACAAAGCAGTTAATAAATCTCTTTGAGGAGAATAATCCCTAACAGTGTTAGCATTTCTAGACCTGTTTTTTCTTGCAAAAATTAAGATGGTTTGCTAAATCTTATTCATTTATTAACTTGTACTCATGTCTGTTGTCTCCTTCCTCCCAACATAAATTCCTGCACTCTTTAGATACAGCAGCTTTGGCAACACCTCCTACCACTCCTCAAGGCCTTCCTCGGGAACCAGTGTACCCACCACCCCCACGTCATCTCTTTCATCCCCCCAGGAGGCCAGGCTGGAAAGGTGAGTTTTACAAAAAGCAAGCTGATGTCTCCACTGTCCTCGAGTAAGGAGAATCAATTTGACTAACATTGGTTAAAAGGAGGGTATGAATACAAGACATAATCTAAAGTATTTTCCTCTAGAGAAAACAGTCCAAAGGCAAAAAAAAAAAATTTTCTCTTTCTTTCACCCTACTTACTAAATGGACATTTTATTAGAGGTGATATTTTATTGTTGTTGTTATCTCATCCCCCTACATACTTTCCATAGAAAATATTTAAATGTGAATGTTTTGATTCACACCTTACAACCAGTTCTAGATTTTACATCAGCTCTGTAATTTGTCTTATGCACAGCAGTTTTCACCTTCGAATGATTAAGTGTATGTAAATCAGGAGGTTGTGGGCCCACTAAGGTGTTGTGCAATTAGCCTCGGACTTACCAGAACAGAAAAGAATTGTATGGGTACATAGAAGGAATGTAAGTTGGCAAGAGTATTAGACCACCAGAAATGAACTAATTATTACTCCTAGAAGCGTATCATTACTCAAGGATGCTTTACAAGGGAACAGTAAGACCTGTAATTTGAGAACAATTAAAAACAGCTACCCTTATATGGCAAGAGTGTTGAGTTAGAGAAGAGAAGATTAGGGTTAGGGTTCCAACTCACTTAGAAATTATTTAATCTCTGAGGGTTAAATGCCAGTTTTACCAACCTTTACCTGAGAGGGTTGTTTAGATGAGCAAATACTAAAGTACACATGAAAGGGCTTTGTGAAACCCGCTTGTGGATCCGGTGGAAGCGGGCAGTGGAGAGGATGGTGAACTCTCTCATGTGGCTCCAGTGGGAAGTGGTGGTGGAAGACGTTGAACTCCACCATGTGGACCTGGTGGGGAGTGGCAGTGGAGAGGATGATGGGGTATATCTTCCAGCAGCTCCTGATTCACCAGAAATCTAGACACAAGCAATTCACACAGATCATTTACCTCAAATCCCAAATTTAAAACAAGTGTGGCTGATATTTCTTATTGTGATTCTGTCCTGTGTATTCTGAATTGTGTTTTGCTGGGAGCTACTGGTGATTGGAGGTTTGGTGGGATGTAGAGTAAGCAAGACCTTACAGCCCAGGATGAAGGGGTGTCAAATGGGGTTTGCCTGGCCACACATCATAGTTTCTAAGGTGGCATGTAAACCTTGTGGTATGAAAGTCAGGTTCTGCAGCCCTGAGTGGCCCTGGGCCAGGCACCTGGGGGTCAGTTAGGTCTTAGTAATAAGGTAGCCAGCTGATTACCCTGCAGCTAGTCTTACCCTCCTGTAGCTCTGTCCTTTACCCTAGGATACCTCCTTTTGGGAGCAGCTGAGGTTACCTGTGGAACTGAACATGTCACCAAAGAGATGGCCCTTATCATATGGGGTGTGGGATTTGGAGCCAACATTAGAAGTATTAGAATCTGGCTGGTATTATGTGCACATCTCTTGCCTGATAGGCTGGCAGCTCCTCAGGGACTGGAACCATGCTCCATTCATTGTTGTGTCCTCCGCTCTACCTGGACATAGCAGAGTCTCAATAAACATTAGTTGAAGTATTGAATGAATTATCCACTCATTGGTGGGGGAATAGGTTGGAGGTCCATGAAATTGGGAAGATATACGGGCAGGAGGTCCACATGTTTACCCAGGCTAAGGGATTTTCACAACTTTCCTCCCAGGCCCTCAAGGGGAAGCCCTAGCCTCTGCTACTTCCTGAACCCTGGAAACCCAGGTCCAGATTTGAGCTGAAGCTCCAGGAGCACAGGCTCCTAAAGTCTCCTGTCTATATGTCTTTCCCTGCTTGATCTGATTGAAGCATCTCTGGGGGAATAAAATTAAATGAGAAATGGTGTGGCTGGACCCCAGATCCCCTTAAACACCCTGTGGAGGAGGTTGGACTTTATCCTTAGACCATGGGAGTTGTTTGGGTTTTGAACATGATCTAAGTTATTAACTGTGTAGGAAGAGATAGGCAGGGCAAGTCTGCAAAAATAGAGGCCACTAGGAAGCTGTTTCTGAGTCCAAGAGAGAAGATGGCCATGGGGCTTGAGAGGAGGCAATGGGTTTGAGCAGGCTTGGCTGACATTGGAAGGGTGGGAGCAGAAGAAGAGTGTGGAGTTAGTGAGGGTTCAGGCTTGTGCGACTGTGTGGATGTTGGAAACAAAGAACTGAGAGAGAATATACTGGAAGAAAAGCAAATTGAGGATAGAAATGTTCAGTCTGGGGCATGCAAGATGTGAGGAGTCTGTTTGACACCCAGGGAGATGTTCAGAAGACCCTGAGGAGGTACGGACTTTGTAGTCTTTGGCTTGAAGAAGACACAAGGGTTACATTACTCAGACCTGTGCGCTGAGACCAGGGAATAGCAATAGCAGGACCTTCTCATCTTGAAAGCTGCCCACGCTCTTTTACATGCACTTTTGCCCTAGGAAATTGGTTGTCTTCGCCACCTACTATATCCACTAGAGTAGCTTCACATTACTCCCTTTACATTTGCATGTTTTTCCGACTATCATCGTCTGAAACTTTGAATAGCCATGTAAAAGCAAATCATGAATCATTTGAAATAGCAGCTGTGTGGTTTCATTATTAATACCTGGAAGCCACCAAGGCCTGACTGCACCACTGTTTGTTATTCTCACCTTGCTAGCTTATGTTTTGTGACTGTGAAACAGATAAATCAGAGAGGCTCCCAACCTCAAATCATATTTGCACACTATCATTCAAGCATAATTATGGCAGTTCCATTTATGATAATATATATCCTTAGACAGTTTAATTTTTCTTTCTCATTTTTGACAACTGAATTGGAACTCTATGGATCTCACCCATAATCTAATTTCAAGTTTACAAATATTTTCTGCCTTGTAAGATATTATGATTGTTTTTACTGAGATACGTACTTCAGTATAATTTGTAAGATTTATTGTTGAGATGTTTTATGTACCCAGGTATTACTAAGACCAAAAAGAAAAACTCTTTGCTTCAGACAGATATTGAATATTTATGACAATTGTTGCTTTTTTGCAATGAGAACCCATATCTTCTGTCAGCACACCCCTGACTAATAAATAGCATGCCAGGACCCCATACCATAGTGGGGAGCTTAAGAGCTCAATTCCAGTGATTTGGAAATGAAAGTCACTTCTCTGAAGTCCTAGGAGATCAGTCCAACTACAACACCCCTTCAGGCATATCAGCCCATTTTGGAAATAAAAGTAGGCATCATTGTGAAGTTAGTTTTTCATTTTTTCCCAGTCATGTTAGTGTGTTGGATGCTAATAAAACTTGGAATGATAAAATGACCTGGAAAGGAAGAACCAAAGAAACAATATACAAAATTAAGTCAAGGCAAGGGTATTAAAATATATCCATCTGCACATCTCCTATTACAGCTTCATTTAGAGGTCTCTCTTTTAGAAACAGAGTGTAGCATTAATTTTCATGAAATTGGAAGTTGAGTTGCGCCAAAAGGAAACAAAACAAGAAAACCAGAACTATTTGTAAAGGCCCTCAGGGATAGAAGATGCAACTATTTAGGAAAAGCAGGCTTTAAAAATGCTTCAGTTTTAAAAATGTACTTTTTGAGTGGAAAAGTTCTAAATATTTTCTTTTTAAACAAAAACAAAATTACAGGAATATTTGAACCACTTATGTTCAAATATTCAAATAAAACAAACAAACAATCACGATATCACAAGCAAATCTGCAGCTCTGAGAAGTTGGAAATGGCGGAGCCCATTCTTTCTCCATCCCTGCAGTGACATCCCCATCTGGTGGGCCTTTTCAGAAATGGCGGCTGGAGGCTTTTTTGGTGTTGTTGACTTACCACTTACAGAGTGAATACGTGAAAATGGAAGCCAAGTGCCTGGACCAAAAATGCCTTAAGAGATCAGCTCTTCTGTGCCTTTACTAAGCAATCAGTTCTTGTGCAGGAGCTAGGCAGTAGTGGTTCCGTGGTAGCATCCTTGCCTTCTGTCTGGATGACCCTGCTCATCCAATGCTCTGCATGCACAGCCATCACCCATCTGTCAGTGGAGGCTTGAATGTTGCTATGATGCTGAACAGGTTTCAGCAGAGCTTCCAGACTAAGACAAACTAGGAAGAAAAGCCTGGTAATCTACTTCTGGAAATCAGCCAGCCAGTGAAAACCGTGTGGGTCACAATGATCTGATCCTCAACCAATCATGGGGATGACACTGGAATAAAGAGCAGAGTAATATTTGGAGAAGCTGGGACCAGCTAGGATTAAGAGTGGGAGCCGCCTCCCAGTTCGAGCTCCCCCTCATGGGATCTCACTTCCTGTGACCCCTGTGAACACCTATCTCTAGCATTTGTGGGATAACTTCACCCTCAGAATTAAGATACCTGTTTTCATGTATTTCCTATTTTCAGTTACTATAACTCCTCCAGTTCTTACCTGCTTGGCAGGCCTTTTGACTATCATCCCGTGTAACTCACAGATACCTGTGTCTTCCTGCCCTTAATCTCCTCCTCCATGTTGACTGTCGGTTCTGCATGGGCCTTGAGTACTTATGTTTTCCTGTTCTGATCTGCTTGGGCTTTGATCAGTATTTCTGGCCCTGACCTCACTAGTATCTACTTGTGCTTTGAAGTTCTGCTTGTTTGGTTTTTTAATCACTGCTTTTTTCCAGATATGTGATCCATGTGTTCTTCTGGATCCCAAATACTTGCTGGCTATGTTCCATTACTTGATTTACACAATACTTTTTTAAAAATTGTGCCATTGGGGTAGAACAGCACTGTCCAATAGAACTTTCAGTAATAACAGAAACGTTCTACATGTGCTCTGTGAATAATGGTAGCTCCTAGCCACATGTGGCTGCCGAGCACTTGAAATGGGGCTAGTGCAACTGAGAAACTGAATTTTTAATTTTATTTAATTTTTATTAATTACAGTTTAAATTTAAATAGCCACAAGTGGCTAGTGGCTACCATATTGAACAGTGCTGTTGTAGAGAGTTTATGA